GGGAGGGGGGGGGGGGGGGGGGGGGGGGGGGGGGCTGAGAAGGATGCAAACAGTCAGGATTCTTCCAAACTCAAGCTTGAGGTTTTGTGGTTTGAGCTCGGTCGCAGAACGCTCTATGTAGGATGGATATGAAGGGGTCTCAGGTCTGGCTCCAATGGAATCCCACCCCTCATCATCCTCCACCATCTAAGCCAAGCCTCAACTATGTACCTCCCCGCCGCCCCCGCCCTCGTCGAGCAGCAACTGGTCTTTGGGCACCAGTTTAACCGCCCTATCGCCAGCATGAAAGAGTGGCCGCCTTCGCTCCTAGTACTGTCGTTCGGCCACGCCTTCAACCAGGGCGTTGCCGGCGTAGCCCTACCTCCTCGCCTGGAGGTTAGTCGTGTCGCGTCGTGCCGTATTCGTTGTTTGTTGCCGTTTTTTTTTTTGCCAAGTGTGGCCTCTTGTGTGCGTGTATTCGAATGCAGGTGATTTGCTGTAAACACCACACGGCCGTGCATGGTAGTACCGCACATCTGTGGTGTGCTGCTCTCCTCTTCGCCTTAAAGATGGGCTTCCAGAATATCAGGGATGGAGCATGAACGCAGTTATTCTCGACCAACAACACACAGCAGCCTTCGGCACAATACCTACAGTAGCACGGACATGCTCCAAGTCAAGATTCCGCTAACGCACACTCAACGTTTGCGTTTGAACGGACCCCATATTCTCCCCTTTTCCCCCACGCTCTACACATGTGTCGGAGCAGTTCCTGGAGTTCGGGCAGGACTTCAACCACTCGATCGACGAGCTTTCTCTGCCCCCCACACTTCAGCACATCAGATTCTCCCACAAGTTCGACCAGAACCTGGACCAGGCTTCCTGGCCGCGGTCCCTGCGTACCGTGTGGCTTTGCGGCACCTTCGCCCAGCCGATCAGGAATGTCGTGTGGCCGGCGGCCCTCAAGGTCGGGTTGGGTAGGGAGGCCCGCCTCGATTTGCTGTTCCGCTCGCTTTGAGGAAGGCGGCCCTGGTCTTGGGAGCCGGCGAGGCAGCCATACAGAACGCCTCCCGGCATTTGAAACATGAAATGTCAGATTGAGGCAAGGCTCAGGTTATTCTTGCGTCGCTACCACCGTCGCGCACAGGTTGTTATCAAGCAGCTCGGTCCTGAACTTCAGTCGCTGGCTTAAGTGCCCCCCTTCAAGGGTAAGAAGAACGTTCCAATGTCGGTCACGTAACACTAGTTCCGCCACCCTCCCCTCTTTGCTGTACCGACGTCAGGTGCTTGCTCTGCCGGCGAGGTTTGGGAGACAGGGAGAACACGAAGATGGCGATGACGATGATGATGATCAATGGCGGGCCGTTCTGCCTGTCGGCTGCCGGCTTCAGCGAGTAGAGTGCGGCTAGTCTACGGGAAAAGCCGACACCATAGAGACCGAAACACGACTCCGCCGCCAACTGATGATATTCCTTCGCAGTTCCCGTTGATTTGGTTGGACAACCCCGAGAGTATGTTGTTGTGCTGGCCAGGTTTTGCTCTGCACCGGGCCGAAGCGCCGTTCAAGACCAAAAAAAGTAGAGCAGTCAAGCCGTGGTCCATGCTGCCACCCGCCGCTTCTGTTGTAGCCGGACAAGAAGGGGCTTTCGAAGGCAATTTGGATCTGTATCACCTCGCCCGATGGAAATTTAATCGGCACGAGATCGCTGTGCGGATCGATGGGTGAGCTGTTGGAGTTGGCTCCTGCGGTCCGGCGAGGATGTCATGGTGATCGAATGACTGCCGTTTCACACCCTACGTGTACATGTTGCCTGTTTTAGGGTTGTGGATGTGGTACTTTAGACGGCAGACATGGAGAAGTTTGTTATATGGATGGACAAAGGACTGAACGTGTGCGTATGCATGGCCTATAATATGCGCATACATACAAGGTGCATTTCTTCTGAGAAAGGCTGGACGTACCACACACAGTTTACTCAGATGTTTGGTTTCGGTTTACGTTTTCATTTTCTTGGTGGTAGGGCCGCCGGGGGGAAATGTGAAATTTGCGCGAAGCGCGACAGGTTCATGCATGTGTGTCTTGACTGAACATTTTTTTTTCTTTATTTGTGCCGACCGCCCAAACCGACTGGCCAATGACTAGGGGGGAGTCCCAGTGCGGGTAAAAACGAGGAATTGACCCTTCAAAAGGTCATGATCTAGGGTCAGTCCGGTGAAGGGCAGTCAGGGTAAGCGTACGCTTTGTGTGTGCGGCGGTCGTTGGTACATTTTTTTTTTGTCACGCCGTTAGTTCTGGAGTCGGTCTTGCGGTACCTACAAGTTCGCGTGGAGACACACGGGGAGACACAGACAGAATGTTGTACAGGAGGAAGGGAAGAAGGCCACTCAGGAGTTATTTCAATTTATAAAATACAAAATATCCCTGCTGTTTCGGTCCCTATAGAAATGCTCGTTTTTTCTGCTTTGCCGTCTCGTGCGTCGTGTCGCTTCTCCGTGGACATGCTGGGTAGGGGTGCGTAGCGTTGGAGGGTCGGCTCCAAACTCTTTCTGGCTGCAAACATGGCCGGCCATGTGCTCCTCAACAAAAGGGGTCGGTGAGATACCCCTCCGTTCACACGGGCATGCGCTGTGACTCGCTCTTGGATGGGCACGCGGATTTGAGTTATGTTGCGATTTGCACAATGTTTATCAAGTGCGTTGGATCGTATCCCAACGGTGAGCACGTGCGTGTAGTGGGGTGTAAAGATGTGCGTGGTTTCATAATGTTTGATGTGTTAATATGTCGTTAATTTCCGAAGAATACTCTGGATTCATCAGCAGGTGTGTTGTAGGTGATAATCATTCTGTCAAAAGACGAATTACGAATGAATGTGTTACATTAGGTGATTTCTGCATATAATATGTGAGGGCGAGAGGTTTGTGAAGCCTATCGATCGGCGTTTTTGGTGGTCAAATTATCAGAGAGACTCTCTAGAGTTTGTATCGCACACGGATGAGCGGCGTGCACGCGATGTTGTCCTTCGTTGAAAGGGTGCCTGGTATTTTTTCTTGAGATTTTACGAGCGAGCTGTGCGACACCAGTTGTCTGCAGGCGGGATTTGTCACATGGCAAGCGATACAACTTATTGTCGCGAGCACTCTCCATGCACTCGCCGCAGAGAGAGGAGAGCTTTTTTCTCTAGTGTGTTATGTCACCTCCGGTTCGGAGCGCTTACTTGTGTAAGATGGAGTGCAACTTCTGTCAGATGTAAAGCAGAGGCCTTACAGGGGAGGGAATAGAAACTGCTACATGGATAGCGCGGGTAAGTAAAACCAGGAAAAAAATGAACAGAATTGCCTTGAATATTATTGTGGGGAACGACTGACTGCAGGCAAGGAGGTCTTCTCGAGGCCCTTCTTGTTGTTTTGCGCGGTAGTCGCAATGATGCAAGAGAATTGTTCAGTCCTATGCACCCTTCGATATCTGTTCTCAAGGTCTTCGGTCGAGCAGTTTGCTTGCGGTTGTAGAAGGGATATGGTCTAGAGCTAGGCCAAAGCTCAGGAGAGGACATTGGAGGAGGCGGGCTGTCCTTCCTTCATCATTTTTTTGTCTACCTAGATACGGCCTTCTTTTGCTCGTTATCTCGATGTGATACGTAGTCTCATGGTCGTTCCCGCGAGCAGGAAGAACTAGGATTGAAAGCAGTGCCGGCATCAGCAGCTACTGTGCAGCAATAGGTGGTCCCTTCCCTGAATTATTAGGCCGCGTACAGCAGTAGAGGCGAGGAAGGGAAATGACAGGCCGTACTAGGCACTTCAAGAGAGGAGGAGCATTCTGACTGACAAAACAACTTGAACATTTTTCGTCCCATCCATCTGTGTCAAGGTATTTCACCATCACCGGCTTTTGAACAGGCCGACCGGCCCTGTTCATGCGGCCGTGCACAGGGGCCACTACTACGGCAGCAGTTGCACTGTACCGAGCGTGAACAAGGCATAGCCTTTGTGTTCCTTCCATCATCAGGTTGCTTCAGCATGGAACCGTCTACTTTCAGCAAAGCAGGGTCATTTTTTTTTTTTCCGTTTCTGGTCACGTCACAAACAATAAACGAAAAAAAATGTGTCCACTAATCACTCCAAAGTTGAACCCATAACTTCTGCTGGTTCCCGAAGCACTTCAAAGCTGGAACTAATCATTATTGAACGGCTAAACTGGCTCGAAGAATTGCAATACTGCTGTTGATGTGTAAGCAAGCTTTGCGCCCACCGCAACCACCCCACAGCCGTCAGCAAAGCTCTTCTACCCCCCCATGACTTCAGGATGGCTCACAGCCGCCCGATCACCCGATCATCCTCGACAGGAGGGTGCCCAAAGGAAAAACACATGTTCTGCTGTTGAGCTTGACACCCACCCGCAGGCAGGCCCTTGTGCTGACAAAAGACCCCCCCCCCCCCCAA